GGAAACTAAATTAAAAACTAGTTCAAAGGAAATACTTTCCTGAATCTAAGAGCAATTAAACAGGATGAAACTTCCAGCAAAGAAAATCCCTAAGGAGTTGATTATTAAAAGTTGAGCAAGTACACTAGGGAAAGGCTATGTACTGTATTTTACTGTTCTTTAATCATCTATTACCAGAGACATTACACTGAGCTAAATGGACCTCTATTGTAAAGAATTACCATATCTTTATGTTCTGGAAAAACACATTAACTTGTTTCCCGTCTTTGAATAATAAAAATAATCAAAGTCCATGGAAGAATCTTCTAAAGTGTACTAAAGTTAAGTGGCAGAAGAAGTGCAGTATGTGAAATTACCGAAGGAAGAGGCAGCAGTAAAGCAGACACACACGGCGAGGCATTCGACTGGAGTGAGTTGTTTCAAACACTCAAACAAATTGAATTATACTGACTTCACACTGGCTCAGTAATAAATGAAACCAAATGTAGCATTTGGTATTGCAGACAGGCTCTATGCTTCCTCTAGAAAAAAAGCCCACAGAAAATAGTTCCTACACATGTGAAAGGCTATAAAATGAGGAAAAAGAAGTCAGATAGGGCATTGCCTTTTTTGGGGGGGGGGCATAATCAGTCACTGAAAAATAGAGATGTGTGGGGTTCCTTCTTTCTCACTCCCCAAGGACTTTATATGTCAAAACTAGCACTGGGAATGGACACAGCAATGGTCCAAGGGATCCAAACAGCTCACATCTCATGGCTCTTTCCACATTGCAGAAGCCAGATGAAACCCCCCTGATGCAGCGTCTTCTGCATTGTTTCTGCTCTCATTAGGATGATCAAAACCAAACTCCCACTGCAAAAGTCTTTTTTTTTTTCCTATGCCTCTACTCAGTAGCCTGTGCAGAGATTTATGCGTGAATTAATAATCTAGCCCTTCAGCTCAGGAAAAAAGCCTTTTGTACTTCAATCTCCAGAGATTCCTAAACTCAGACCCTGCAGGTAATCAGTGAGAAAGTAAAATTAGAGCTTTCCAGACCAGAACTTGAGTCCATTTCTACCGCTTCTACAGCGACTTATTAAAGCTGACCAACAATGTTCTGAACAAAATGCTGATTCAAGAGAATGAAAAGTATTCCTCGAGAACATGTTTACTCTGCTAAAACCCTCCCGGCGGAAGCCAGGCGGGCAGGCACTGCCTGCTGCCCGACCAGCTGGCTAGCCTGGCTGGCTTCTTTCCAGCTTGCCTACCAGCCGGCCGGGCAGCAGGCCAGCGCGCCCGGCAGCCCCCCGCTGCGGATGAGGCACATTTGCAAAAAAAGCCTGAAACAAATTGTTTTGTTTTGCCTGAAGTTGCACCGTGTCGACATTCTGTTCCAGCATGGGATGAAACAAAATGTCAACAACCCAGAATTTCCACAGAACAGAAATACCCTTTTCTGGCCAATTTTAGTCACAATCTGTATGTGTGTGTTACTGTTGCCTCTCCACAAAAATAACTGTCTTAACAGTGTCTGCTTCACTTCCACTTCAGAAGTGTGGACTGAAAGACAACTAGTATTGAGGAATCGGGCTTATGTTGCTTACACTAATCAAGTTCTTATAAATAACATACAACATGACGTAATTTTGAGTATGTGAGAAAAGGCTTCAGTATTTTAAGACTGTGGCAGTTAAATACTGCCTTCTGTAAGACTTCTACAAAAACAGCTCTTTAGTCAGCTACTTGGTTGATTCTGCTGCTTGTAGTAATAATTTCACAACACTACAGACTGTAACCAGGACATTTTACAAGGACTATGTCACCATCCATATGGGCTTCTGCTGATCTATTCCCTAGAGAAATAACAAAGTGCCTGGATTTCTAGTCACCACTATGCCAACCTAATAGTGTAGACTGTTCCCTCCTATTTGTAAAAAAACCTCCTCCAACTTCAGAGATCTGGTCACCTTTTCATCTGTCTATAGAACGTAACTGTACTGGAAATGGTGCAGATAGCACAATTATACTCTAATTAGAGGATTTGGGGTCTTGATAAGGACAAAGTCAGACCTCAGTAGATAATTCATTTTCACAGGCCCCTAATTTATTTCATGTTGCTCTATCAACAGATATAGCCTTCAGGCCACTCCCACTGGACACAGTTTAAATTCAAAGCTGATTCAACTGTCATGTTGCTCATATGATTTTTTTTTCTTTTTTTTAAATAAGAAAATTGTATTCTACATTTACTTATTCATACAAATTCATTTATTTGGCATATTGTGGCAGGAGCACTGGGCAGAAATGGAAGCCAATGATTAATGTTAAATTTTTAAAACAGGCCAAAGGAAACAATTTTTGTTGTATGCTAGGGGTTTTCAGCCTATTTTCATTAATAAAAAAGGCAACAATGTCATCTGTTTTTCCTAAAAACATAAATCTCCTATCAATTTTATGTTGCCCTTAGCATGTGATTTTGAAGAGGCCATGAAAAGACAAACACACAGGTACTTTCAACTACAAAGCCTTTCCTAGAGACATCAATACATACAGCCTCAGTTTCTTACTTAGAATAAAAAAATATTGAAATTTCCCCGAAGAGATTTTTAACATGATGAATCCAGCCATTTTTCGAAAGATGGCATCTTGTTTAAAGCACAGAAAAGAATTTTTGTTCTTAAATAACTGCTTTTAAATTTTTTATGCTTCAGGATTTTTCTTTTCATCCAACAGTAACAGCCTTTACTTATGTTCTACTGCCCCTCCCTTTACTTCATCCTCTCTTCAAAACAGCTCGACACTTCTGGTTCCTCCGACGTAAATTCCTGTATGCACTAAATTCATGCATTCTCATTAAACAAACAAACAAACAAATCTCACATTAACTAATGGACACATTAAGAATACAGAAAATGGCAAATCCATCAACCAACAAAACTAAATTATGAATTATTAATCCTTGAATAATTTCTATGCAAAGCTCATGACATCTTTTTTCAATGAAATAGTTTGTGAAACAGAAATGTTATTTTACTATAGTTTTGGCAACAGATTACCTTATATTCTACTCTAAGTTAACTGCTTCAATCATCAGTTTTCCAGCATTATTTCTTGCATTCATTTCAACCACTTCAGGTCTTTTTGTTTTCAGGAAGTAGATGGAAGAACCTTCAGATTGAAAGGGCAGAAGATTGATTTGAACAAATCAATAAAATAAATAGTAACCAATTGTCCGGACTGGATGTTATTCCCCAGAGTTTATAAAGAGTTAAAAACTGAATCATCAAATCATTAGCTGTGAAATGCAGAATGCCATTTAAATTAACTACAGGTTTAATAGGGTGGAAAGCAGTAAGAGTGTCATTAGTTTACAAAAACAGTTGCAAGGAATGCAGGAAATTAAACTAGAGAAATCTGATCTCTGCATAGGTAAATTGTAGGATTACAGTAAAGCACAGAATTACTAAGCACAGATATGATAAAAAAGGAGAGCCTACATGACTTCTTCGAGGCAAGCAATGCTCAACCTCTCCCTCTTTAAACATATTTTTAAGGAGCTGGCAAGAAGGTGAATAAAGGAGATACTGTTAACAATGCACTTCGATTTCTACAAGCCTTTCAATAATGTTTATCATCTCAGCTCTCCTGGGATACGAGAGAAGGTTATCTGATGAAGTCTGAAGGGCAGAATAAAGACTGCTTTCACAACAGAGAGACATAATTATTAGAGGCTACCTTTGCTGGAACATGAGTCATTCAATATGTTCATAATCTAGAAATAGCAGAATGGTTTCAGAAGAGTTTTTGGATTACCTGGAGTAATCAAAATTAAACCCAACTGTAGAAAGGTGCAGGAAAATCTTATCACCTTGTACAACTTGGGATAAAGAGGTACATGAAATACAGTGTAAATGCGGAACAACATACATGGGGGAAAGGCAGCCTATCTATGAGTATGGCAGGGTCTCAATTAACTCCCTCTGCCCAGAAAAGATCGAGTCATTTTGAATAGCTGCACAAAACACATTCTCAAATAGACAAAGGATTAAAAGAGTAGAACACAAAACATCACAATCTCTGTCTCCATCCCAGTCCACCTGTATCTTGAAAACACTTTCAAATTCTAGCTTCTCACCTAAAAAAAAATGGAATAAAAGTGAACTGGAAAAAAATTGAGGCAAGTTATCAAAGCTTCTGTAGAGGAATATTAGATGAATTGGCAGAAGAATTACAAAGGAGGCATGTAATAAAAAAATCCATCTAATCATGACAAGCATGGGAAAGGCAAATAGTGATGGATCATTCCTTTCTCTTACTACAGAAACTCAAAGGCCATTAGCTTTGAGATTTTTGATAAATATTTTAAAACAAAGGGAAGTATCTTCCTCTTACAACAGTGAAACTATGGAACTTAATGTCATGGTGTGCTGTGGAAATAAAAAATATTAATTATTTTAAATAGGTAATTAAACAAATTCATGGAATAAAAGTCCATCAAAATGTACTTAGTATATAGATGTAAATAGTAGGTATTTTTCTAAAGTCCAGGTTACCAGAAACCACGGGAGAAGTATGTTATGATATCCATTCATTCCTGTATTATTTCAATGCCTGCTGCTGGCCACTATCAGAGTAGGTATACAGCTAGCAGAACTGAAAGTATTATGTTTGTGATAAAGAGGTATTTAGAAATTACAAGCTTGATGTGGATTCTCTAATTATTCCTCCCTCCTCCCTATCTCAAGCTCTGCCACAGTTCTTATATGATAATTTCTTTTTCCAGATAGAATTTATCCCTGCATATTTATGCCTACACAAGAGCTATGTGCTGTCTGAGAAGTGGGCCAAACCTTTTCCCCCATGCTCTTGGATTAAATTAGTTATTTAAATAGCACATTTAGATCTGGACCCTTCAGGAGATGATCTTACGGTCAGGCATTGCCACTGAAAAGAAATACCATAAAGAACTCAACATATTTTCCATATTGCCTCACCAGAGTTTTCCATCCCATTCTGTTTAGAAACCCTGAGTCAGCACCTGGAATACCTTGGGCTCTGTGGAAATGATGCAGAAGCTGAAGATCAGATCCTTGAAAGTCTGAATGGGATTCTCCTGGCTCTTACTGAAGATAGCTAAGTATCACACCAGATCACTATTTAACCATTTGCACAATCCGAAAGCATTCGCTGGAGGTTTTCGTCTCTGGTGATAATCGGTATTACAAGAAGCGATTGCTGCTGAAACCATAGCTATCCTCAGCTGGTTTTACTGTTCTCCTTTCTCTTTGTATACTCGCAAATCTACCTCTGACCAGATAAAGCTACTGGTTACTAAAACATCTGAAGCTGCAAGTGAAATTCCAAATTTAATATTCTATTTACTACAAACTCCTAGTATTAAATTTGGGTGAGGCTATCAGGTCAGGAATTTAAAAAGTAGTTCCTAGTCTCCTCATAAGAAAGTCTTTAGGGTTTCTGCACATTCTCCTGAAATGACATAAACTGCATTTACTTGAATCTCCCAATAGGTATTAATTTATTATGTTAAGGACATTTAGCCATATTTTTGATGAAAAAAAGGCTAAGGGAACTGATTGACTAATAAGGGAATTGCTAGTCTAATAAATGATGTTGTGCCTGCCTACGTAATTAATTGCCAGGTCATACCTCAGGAATAGAATCTTAATCCCTCACTTCCCATGCCTTATGCAAGCATCCTTTTGTAGTCAGAGAAGATTAAACTGCTTCCCTCTTTGCTCTGCCACCTGTGCTTCAATTCAGCACAAAGGACAATAATCAGCTGGAACTGCACTTGCTGCAATTCAAACGATGACTGTTCCCATATATTTAGACTGAGACAGCCTTTGAGTGCCTTGTTAAATCAGAACCTTGGATCCCATGGATATGCACTCAGAACTCTAGGAAACAAAGGAACATGTAAATAAAACAGTTGCAAACCTAATGCAACTGTTATCCTATTGTTAACACTCTTATCGTTACAGAGCAGAGATCCTTCAGCCTACTCAGAGAGAGTGGGATCTTCCTAACTTTGGCAAAAATCCTGAGGGGCAATCCACGATGTGCAGTGAAAGCAGCCCAGGTGCTTTCAGAGATAGTCAAGAATGGTATGTTGTGCTAAAGTGTTACTACAAGGCATTTTACAGCACATTAGCTGTATGTTTCCACTCGAGTTTTGTTTCGTGGCTACCAGCTATTGGTCTTGCAATTGTTTTACTTCAACGTGGCAAAAACCCACAAGTCCATCTCCTCTACCCACACAGAGGAAATGAAGAAACCATGTATTGAAGCAGATTTGGTTTTAACTTTGATACCTTTTCTGGAGAGCACAGACCAAGAAATGTTGCTTCATGCTGGGAGGGCTATCGGCCGTATTTGTTACGATAATCGTAAGTATCAACTTGAGAGAATCCTATTTTCCCTAGATGCAAGGCATCATTTTATATCATTTTATAAGGAACTGCAACCTGTAATTAATAATTTATTTTATGAAACCTGAGCACACAATGCACTTCAACCTCCAGTTAGATAAATGATACACACAGCTCTCAGACACCAGGCTGAATGTATCCCAGACACCTTCTAAAGTCTGGGTTTCCCCCTATGCTTCTGACTTTGTCAGAACTGCTCTACAAGAGTAGCAGAGACTCATACATATCTTAAGTACCTTTGCAGAACTGCCTTGGGCCCAAATCCTGAACGACTTTATCTTCTTCCAAAGTTATAACAGTGTCTAGAAAGCAAAGCACTTTTTTAAAAAACAACACCTTACATATTTTTACAGTGGCTTAATTCCTTGAATCAAAGTAGAACCAGGAGGTTTAGCAACACTCTGTCCTGAACCTGCAGTTCCTAAACACACGCATTAGCCTGAACCCACAGCACGAAAGCTGAACGAATTCCAAGCGTGACAAAGAACCAGACTAACTTGCTGCAAAGCATCTTAGTTTGACCCTTTTTACTGATTTAATTGGTCCCTACATAATCACCTTTAACTTCTTTGCTTACTATTACCAGGTGATCTTCAGGAAGAGCTGGTGAAGGTAGGAGTAATCACATCACTAGTCCGAATATTAACCGATCATGCAGAGAGTGAACCACTCGTCCATGTTGATCTATTGGCCTTATGCAATCTTGCAGACCTTGGTAAGTACACGCTTCCATAGCTTAGAGCAAACATCACCCTCACACTATCACAGTCTTTCCATGTATGTGCAGAACACCCACAGGTTTGTGGGGTCTTTGTGTTTTGTTTCTTGGGGTTCTGTGGGAGTTTGGTTTTGTTGGGCTATTTGGAGGGGGTTTTTTGTTTGCTTTGGGTTTTGTTTTTTTAAACACTACTGATACCTAATCAGGGACTGGCCACAGGATCTTCAGTGGAGATACTCCAGAAGTAGTTACTACTCAGGTTGCCCAGAGAAGCTGTGGATGCCCCATCCCTGGCTGTCTTCAAGGTCAGCTGGACGAGGCTTTGAGTAACCTGGTCTAGTGGAATGTGTCCCTGCCCATGGCAGGGGGGTTGGAAGTAGATGATCTGTAATGTCCCTTCCAACCCAAACCACTCTATGATTCTATGATTCCTGGAGTGACAGCAATAACTGGTACTATACTGAAAAAATTAAGATTTAATAGACAGCTTTTGACCCAGTAAAAAAGGTATAGAGGGCATAACTTCATGTAGTATATTGACAGTTTCAACCACTTCTGAGAGGGTACATTATACACTCATTTATAAAAAATGTGTTCCTATTAATTTTATACACCTTAATGAAACAGCTTCCCTTTTCATTTACACAATTTTCAAACCAAAGGTATCCCCACTAATTTAAAATACATCTCCTCTACTTTAAACAAGTTGGAAGTAGTGATGGAAGGAAAAGACCAAGTAGAAAAATATTAGCACACTTTGTATATGGTCTGACCACAATTTCGTCTACTGCTTCCTACATTTTGGGGGGAGAGGCAGGGAAGGGGGTATAGTATCACACTGTCACATCATCCTTAATGAGGTCTGTCCTTTCAAGTTCTCTTATGTTACTTAATACCATATTCCATTCAAATGTGTTCTCTCAGACAGTAGTAAGCTTTAAAACAAAATTGATCTTTGTTAACATACATCTTGTATATCTTTAGGAACCCAGCAAGACTAGAACCATCTAATCAAGGCAGAAAACAAACTGGCATGTGTCAATTTGATACATTAAATAATCATACTACAGATGCATTTATAAGAGTCAAAGGAATTAAGCCAGTATTAATTTGGCAGCTATTGTAAGGTCAGATCTACAGGAATTACATAAAACCAGTGTTAAAGTGTGTGGGGAAGAGATGGAGTAGGGTTTTGCTGTCTCAGTGCTGTCAAAGGAACAGACGCATCGCATCTGTAACAGAAAAAGCACTCAAAACCACAGTAGCATCTAATTGCTTCAGATTATAGGGAGATATGCTTTTAACATTTAATAAGATAAAAAACGATTCAAAATCCTGACTTTACCATGTACACAGATACAGCCAGGGAAGCTCTAAGCAAGACAAAGGTTGCTGAACAGCTGGTGAAACAACTGAGAAGAGCAGAGAACCACGAGAGGTTGGAAATTGTCTTTGAGGTCCTGCAAGCACTTGCAGAAAATGGTAAGGCTCCTTTCAGCTTGGGGGAACGAGGGGAGACAGGGTACTGGTACTTAGCTTAAGCTCTGGGTTCTGAGTTTGCCATGGAATCCTCCTAATGGAGCCAGCAATCCCTTCAGTGGAAATAAGCCTCAAGAACATATGAAATCCTGGCCCAAACAAGACTTGGAAGCTTAACAGATGAGGCAACAAAGAAAGGGATCTGTAAGATAGTGGATTCAAACTCATACTCTGCATGGTGTGTAACAGGAAAGAGACTAGGTAGATTTTTTATTAAAAAATGACAACCAAATATCACAGACATCTAAGCAGTGGTGTAACAAGCACCAACAAGAATCCACTAAAAATAACCAGATACATGATACAGATTTTAAAGAAATGAAAACTCATGACTAGCAATAAAAGAAAGGCCAAAGATCAATGCAGAAGATCTGCTCATTCTGCCTTGGTGTCACCAGGATGTCTGTTACAAACAAAACCCAAACAGTGACTGCACCTGAAAAAAGACTAGCTGAAGTTCAAGGATTTAGCTTCCCAGTTTGAAACGCTCCAAAGACCCAAAAAGCTTTTGGTGTGCTTTTGCTGTGATCTCTACAGATGCCCTGAAAGTGCAGTTGGTGGAGGCAGGTGTGCAAGAGGTGCTGTCTGAGATCCTGCTGAGGCTCCAGGGCAGTTCACAAGCTGAAGACACATGCATTGTGAAGGCTGCATCAGATCTCATTGTCTCTCTGCTTCTTGGAGGTAAAAAAGGGAATGCTACAGTCCAAATACATAAAGAAAAAAATACCAAAAGTCCCCTTAGCAGAGAATTACCATCCACCCTGATGCTTTCATTTCCCTAACAGGGACATATCTGCAACCTGTTTCATAATCCTTAGAGGAATTCTTCTCAGGCACCATACTTCACTTTTTAGAGGAGCCTAGTGCTCACACTGCCATGTCTCCCTTCAGGCATACACGTCACCTCAAGGCATCTAATACCACTGTGACTGGTCCTACGCAAGCACAAGAAATCCACGCAATTGTAGCTGTACCTGTGGTTGCCAGTTCACACCCTGCTTCTAACACTTTCCTTTCAAAGCTGGCCTAAGAGCCAGTTTTAAATTTAAAGCTAATCATCAGATTAAGTTCACATGGTATTGAATTAATCATGTTTCCTCATTCACTATCCAAATCTGTATACATACTTTGAACATTTGGATTAACAAATGAAAGGTAAGAACTTTCTTGTAATGCAAGTTCTGCATTTATCTATTTGGAACAGACTACACATGTCGTTGACCCAGATTTTCACTAAGTCTTTAAGCTGATTTCAGGAACAACATAAAAAGGTAAAGACCTAAGAGCAACTTAGTTTAGGTGGCCCTGCTATGTTGTATTTTGGGCAACACAGAAAAAAGACTAAAACACCAAGAACTGAACACTTAAACAGCATCCCATCACCCCCAATCCCCAACCAACCAACAATTTAAAGGTTTTAAATTATTAACTGTAACAACAACCTTTAAGACATCATTGATTGGAATCTCCCCAAAGACAGACAGAACAGTTCATTTCAGGGCTATTTATGCACTGACACAAGATATTCTATTTATCATGCCACTGATAAGTACATGCAGAATTATTTTGCTAAGGCATGTGGCATCATCTCCCAGAATGTTGGTACTTGCATCACATCCAAACACACGCAGCTATAGAGACAGGAGCAACAGCGATTGCTAATTTTACAATAAATGGCAAGGTTGGCTATTTACCTTTCAGAGATGGAAAGCCACTGCTTGCGAGTGGAGAGAAAAGCAATACTCATACTTCTTTGCTCCTTGGCTCTGAAAAGTAACATTCTTGTTTTTCTGCAGCCTTGCATACCTTTAGGTCACAGATGGTAATGATACAGAAGTCGTTTGGGGTGGTCAGATATGCAAGCTTTCACTTATCCTCCACAAATCACACATCAGTAGAGGGGAGACTCTGGAACTGTTTCCTGGCAAATACATTTGCTAATAATTTATAAAAAAAACAACCCCCATAATTATTGACATTTTAGGTTTTAAGTCACTTTTAGGAAGGGAAGGTTACTCAGACAATATGGGGGCTGAGAGGGGAGGTGTGTATGGAAATAAATCTCAGGATAAGCCATTTTATCTTTCATACTTCCCTACGATAGAAAGCAGTGAGCCTTAATACCATGCAGAGAGAAAAACAGAGACACTCTTATAGAATCCTGGAAGTCATGGTGTGTGAAATCAGTCAGCAGAAGACCCCCACCGTGTTTTCTGTCCTATCTCACTGATAGCTACTCTACTGGGTTCAAACTCAATTAACAAAAAGGAGCTTTTTCAACGCTGCTCAGCTTTATGCATTAATACATGCTTAATTATCATAAAAGATTCCCACACATCTGTCTGAATGTTTAGCTAGTCAGTCTCATCTGGTTTTTGGGTTTTTTTTAAACAAGCTCTCACACACACACCTCTACACCTCCTCCCCCATCCCTTCTGGACTTCCTTTCTTCCTTGTCTTATACCTTGCTCTGAATCAGCCATTGTGCATCATGTCTCTACAAAGGCCACTGAAATGCCCTCGGTGCCTTTAAACTGGCTATCTTCAATTTATTCAGCTGAATGGCTTGCTTTGTCACTCGCTCTTCTCATTCCATCTCCCCCACAACCCCATTAGATGTTTCATGTGGAAAAAGTGAATAATCCCTTTCAGTCTCCAGTATATGCCACTGATGTATGCACAGCCTTTAATCTAAGGGGGAAAAAAATCCAATGGAAATCTGATCTCAGCATCAAATGACTTCTGAGGCAGTGAAAACATGACAGACAGCTTTTGCAGATATGAAAGTGGCTGTTCCTATCAGACTTTAACTATGAGCCATTAAATTGAAGGTTCTGCTGCTATCCAAGCAAAAATCCATAGGAGAAAGAACCAATTTGGAGCTCTATGACAATCAAAGCAAGGCAACCACTAATGGCTTCTGCCTATTCACACTTTACTACAAGAGAGGGGAAAAAAAAAGTGCTCTGCCATTCTTCGGTGTGAAAGGTGGGGGGAGGAGAGGAATTAGTCTCAATTAAGGTTAGTCTATATGAAGATGAAAGTATATTTGCCTGTAGAATTTTGTCAGTCCAACAGAGATGGTCTGTTCCTAGAGAATCAGGCAATTTTCCTCATATACTCTGATCTCTGAAGATTAGAACCAGGCAAAAGAACATATGAAATACCACAAGCAAAAACATCAGCTTTAGAGAATGTGTGCATAAATTGCTGTCAAAACATTTTTGCGTGAGTAGAATTCAAACTATTTCACAGACTGACAGTTATCTTATGAAAATATCCACTTATATTTTATAAGCATTTGACAAATTCTTATTTAACCTAGGTAGTAATACAGGGGGAAAAATAGGCTACCAACTGAAATGCTAAGAGATTAAAGGAATCGTAGGCATTGGTTCAAAAGACAACATGGAGGAGTTTCTGCTACTTTGGGGTGGAAATAACATTCAAACCAGCAAAGGTGTTAAAATTACTAGACATTCATAGGTGGTATACACACAAAAACTAGAAATCTGTACATCTTAGACATGCAGTTAGTACCGTGAGAAGCACCTAAGGCTACTTTTGGCCAGATTCTGTATTTGTACGAAGTCTGTATAGTTCCACAGATACAGCTGTTTACCTGGGTGAAGATGGGGTCTTCCTACAGAGCATTCAGACTGCTTTGCCACATTTTATTAAAAAGGCATCCATATTGTAACAGCACAGCAACAAGGAAATCTTGACTAGTGTCAGGAACATGCTTCTCCTAAGGCATAATAAACTGCATAAAATAAAATACAGGAAAATATTTGCCAAATGGCATCTTCAAAACACTTCTGTCAGGAAGGGTACAGACCATGATATGCAGAGTTGCCTTTTGCTCCTTTAGGAGAGCACTTTCCCATTTCCTATCACAGTGAGCTAAGTAGCTTCTGGTAACAGAAGGGCTTTCACTTCTGAAGAGCAAGTTCTCAAAGCAAGAGGGAGACACACAGACACGTACTGACAAAGACTGCAGAGTATGTACTGGGCAAAATGGTAGTTGTTTGCAGCGTACAAACTGCTCGTTCCTGAGTGTTAAACAGATCATAATGCTCTACATCAACTCATCTTTTCCTAGCTTTGTATGAGCAGGACACAATTACACTTCTCAGAAACCACAGAAAGTGGGTTTCTCAAAACAGGTAAGAAAAACCTACGTCTGATTCATTCGATGGTTAGTTGATGACAAATTATTAAATTGAACACACGGAGCAACAACAGTACACAACTAGTAATCAGACTCACCATTGCTGGGTATGGTCCCTAGTCTCATAACAGTCTCTTAAATTAGTAGAATAGCAAAATTAGAGTATTAAAGCTATCCCATGGAGAAATTGAAAATACCACCAGTATTCCACCACATATATAATGGAAAATAAAGCAGTACTGAGGAAGAAATTGACTGGGGAACATATGGTTTTGAATTTCACAGTGAGTGTCCCTAGAAAGCTCTCTCTAGCTAAGCTTTACTACAGGGTGTCTCAGCATTGGTTCACAGGTAGCAGATGCCCACTTCCCTCTAGAGCTGAAGGTTGTAAAAAACAATGCAAAAGCTTCAGTCTCAATCTTATCAAGACATGAAAACAGTTGAGGCAGACTTCCTGAATTCTCCATTTGCATGACTAATTTATATCATTGTGTTTTCTCTCTCACCTGCTTGGTTTTGCCTCTTTCTTTAGATGGCAACTGTGAACGAATGGTACAGCTGGGAGTCATACATCAGCTTCTAGACCTTCTGGAGAAACACGTGGAGAGTGGGGACATCTCTGTTCAACATGCTGCACTCAGTGCACTTCGAAACCTTGCCATACCAGGTACAGTTTGAAGACAATTGACTTAATTCCTTGTAAAGATGAGTTACATAATGGAGATCTGTGCAGCTCTGTCCAAGTCACCACTTCCAGTGCCTTGTATTTGGAGGGGCAAATGACCTGTTTTCCTCCCTGCAGACATATATATTTGAATAACTCATCAGGACTTCTCATCTACATAAAGGGTCTATATATAATAAAGTGTGACCTCCTTGCCAGCTGCTGAAATGGTTTCATATGAACAACATACAGCAGTCCAAGACAAAAAAGCAGAACAGGGTTTATTGCTTAAAAGAGAGAGTATGGGGTGAAGCTATCGCATCATGGCTGGTAGGGATTTCATAGATCTGTTCCTCTTCTACATCGCCAATATTCATTGCAAATTTGGCCTTTGTAACACACTTCAGCTACAGTATTTAAAAGAGGGCATATAAGATAGATGGGGGCAGACTTCTTAGACTTTTTAGTAGGGCCTGTTGTGATAGAACAAGGGGTGGTGGTTTTAAACTAAGAGTGTAGATTTGGAACAGATATAAGGAAGAAATGTTTTACGATGATATATCAGGTTTGTGTGGCAGCAGGGTTTGGCAGTGGGGGTTGGCTCCTGTGAGAAGTTACTAGAAGCTTCCCCAGCTCCAAGTCGGACCTGCTGCTGACCATAGCCAAGCCAGTCAATGATAGTGGCAGTATCTGTGTGATAATGACAGATAAGGGTGGTGCAATGCTGGCACAGGTTGACCAGAGATGGTACATCTCCACCCGTTAAAACACTCAAGGTCAGGTTGGATGGGGCTCTGAGCAACCTGATCTAGTTGAACATCACTGAAGATCACTGATCACTGCAGGCTGGACTAGATGAGCTTTAAAAGGTCCCTTCTAGCCCTAACCATTCTATGATTCTACTCTTGTGATCTCTTGTTAATACACATCAGAAAATGGTGCTGCTTCTCATCTCAAATTTACTGCTTCCATGCCAAAGTGTAATTCAGGACAAAAGTGTTTTGCTAAAGCCTTAAAAGTACAGCAGCCTGCAGCGCAGTCCCTGCACTGCTATACCTGCAGAGAAGAACATGACACCAAAGCTATATTCTGAAAATAAAAGAACTTGAAGTTGTCTGCCAATTTTATTATGTAACGTTAGCCAGCATGCTTGGTTTAAATTTTATACATAATCATTGCTTTGAACAAGTGGGAGCCCCAGTATATGCTAGTTCCAACTTTGCATCCACGACTTCTTTTTAAAGCCTAATACACCCTCATTTCTTCTTGCAGATAGCTCTCTTCAGAACTTCACCTATTTCTTTCAACTTATTTTTGATATGATCTCAAGTAATTTATTTAGTTTGGCTTATAGTATTATCACGCTCTCTGGATCATAACAGCCAGCCATGTCTGGCTGTTCAGTATTTTAATAAACATATTTCACACCATAAGCCCCTCACTGTTCCTATGTATATTTTATTTTCTGTGAAGAGATTTTCTACCACCATTCACATCAGCAGACAGAGGCCCATGCAGATTGCTTTTCTGGTGCTAATAGGGTGCTAATAGAGTACACAGTGTTTCAACCATGCATGCCAGCTACCTTACATCAGTTACAACCTAACACAGAACTATTAGAAGATAATCATAAAATCATGAAAAATCAGAGCCATCCAGGTGAAATTAGGAGAGTAATTTAGTAGGCATAATGCAACTATCTTTATTAGAATGAAAAGGTGGATTTATTTTCCATAAGCCTAAGGATATTCCATGCTTAGTTCTCAGTGACTTCACTCCTACAAATTTACAAGCAGTAGTGATACCAATTAATCTCATTTGAAAGGTAGCAATTTTGATGTAGTTTCCCTTGACAACAAGCAGAGATGATCACATTCTAACTCACAACAGAACCTGTTCCTCAACGAATACCAAGGCCCACTTTTCGCAATGCCAAGCCCAGGCATTCCTTGGGAGTTCCTTAACAAAACAATGAACACAGCTGATCTTGTAAAGATTACAGGATCTAAAACTCCAGAAAAATGTGGTTGCAGACTACAACTTCACCCCTATACCACTGTCTGCTGCACACTGTACCAGTAGATCTTAATGTTCTTTGCAGCTGTACTTTAACAGGCCCAAGTCTAAATTATAAAGTATCAGTGAATCAATACAGAGTCTACTTTGGTTATCTGTTCTGTTCAAGACTATTACAAACCATGTGAGATCTTTCCAAATGTGTGAGCAATGCATAGCAATTAAAATGCTATTCCTACACTGTGGTTTTCCTCATGAATTTGTAAAAATATCAGAATACAGAAACTCTAAGACATTCCTTCACAGTAATAAATTTCTTCCAGAAATACGCAAACTCTATCATTTAACAGTGTAGTTGCTACCTGGGAAAGAAAAATAAATAGACTGAATGCAAATCCAAATAAATCATAAAATAAACATTAATTAAATATGGGCCAACACTTGCAAATGGGCACAGGGAAAGCCTCCAGTTCAACCAGTGATCTTAAAAGAAAACAGGTGCTTATAGAAACAAATTGAAAAGTCATTATGCTCTAGTGAATGGAGACAGGCTGTGCCACAGAAAACCAAGGACATTGAGAGCAAGTTTCTTAACAGTGTCTGTTTCTCAACTTGCCCAATAGAAGGGGGAAGGGATAGAATGTTCTCTCTCTAGTTTCACTGTCCTGTCATTCCCCTGCCCCTCAAAAAAGGCATGCAGAGGATGGGAAGAAAATTGTTCTGGAGGAAACAGCTGATGGCAGCACAGTCAAGCAGCATTAGGACTCTTTCCAGACAAGCTCCTGATGATTACCAGGGATTACTGGACTAATGACTGGAGCAAAGACACAAGAATTAGGAGAGAAAAGCACAGAAACAAAGACATGAACAACAAGGGATCAGTGAGCTCAAATACAAAGAGAAAATTCATTCTCAAGAAATATGGCTATGTAAATCACTTCTGCACCCAGTTCGGTTACATGTGCAAACAGAGGAAAGGCTTGCTCATGTGAGTGGACGAGAGGATGGATAATCTATTACAGCTAGAAAAAAGAAGAGAAACAGCAATGCTGTGTTTATCCTTTTATGTACTTCATAAGGGCTGAGATCAAAAGTAACCAAAATATCCTAACAAAAATTCCTAGGAAATCTTCAGCTCAAAAGAGAAGCCTAAACAATCGGGTAGTCCTGACTTCATTTCTCAGCACTCTAGCAAGTTGGATCTTTTGCTAAGAGCATAACAGGGCATAAAATTCAGAACCACAGTTATGTCATATCTGTATTTTCAGATGCCGGTGTAGTTACTGAGCTTCAACATCTTTTTTTATCTATTTTCTAGTTGTTAACAAGGTCCAAATGCTGGAGGAAGGTGTCGCAGAAAGGATTCAGGCGCTTCTACGGTCAGAGATGCCTCCTGTGCAGTTTAAACTTCTTGGAACACTACGAATGTTAGCAGACGGCCAAGGTAGGGAATTGCTAATGCTTACTGATGTCAATTATACACTCCCCCACCTCCCCCCTCCCTGCAAGGCAATGGATGTGCAAAGGAGACTACAGGCCAAGTGTCCTGCTAACCTAATTCCACTCTGTCTGGAGGGGTTCCAACAGAGATGATTGGCAGAGGCTGCGAGCCTTCCTACTGCCCCAGTCAGCCTCAGAGGCAGAGGAGAATCAAATCAAATGAAAGCAGCACCAGCAGTCAGTGACAAACAGCAAAGGCCTAATAGGAAAATGAGATGTTTTCCACCAAAGATATACCAGCAAAGCATAAGAATGATGGAAAAGAGTCAGGCTAAGGATTTACAGTGCCAAATAACAAGAAAGCAAATCAACAGAACAGGAGAAGATCAAAGGGAGCTGGGGTGGAGAGAGAGAGGAATATAAAGAGATCAAAAGGAGCTGGGGTAGAGAGAGGCAGGAGAAACAAGTTTCCACCAGTCACAAAGTCTCTCTATATGCATCTTGCCAGGTTTATCTTGCTGGTGTGGCTCAAATGTTGAGTTTACCTCGCATGTTGAAATATGGGATTATCTAAGTGCACTTCATTCAGTTTTACAGCAGTGGGTATGCAAAGGCAACAATACTCAATCTGTGCGTATAGTTGCATTCTGAGAAACACACACAATGTCAGAATTACATTAAGATCTACTACAATATCTTAATTTATCCTTAGACTTCTCTAGCTTCTTACCAGAGTGTAACACAAGTGTTGTGGGGTTTGGTTTTTTTAATAAGTGTTCTACTTGTATCACCAGAGCAGCTGCTCTAGAACAGTACTCAGTACAGATCACCTTGATGTGCAGGAATAACAATAAATAGCTCAAAAACAGAATCAGAAAATTTATGACCATTTTGCTACAGGAACTGACAGTTGGGTAAGGTACAGTTACAAATTCATTAGTTATATGGAAGTGGAAAAGAACCCTCACTCTCTTACATTCCGTTCTGCACTCATTTACACCAGTGCAGACACCACTTTGATATGGCAGCTACTTGCACCCTTTCTCAAATGGGTATGCACGATATGAACTTAGATCTAGCACTCGTATTAATGTGCACTGATTCCAGACCAGTAAACAGCTGCTTTTACTTATATTTCACCATGATAGGAAATGGACATTGCAAGATATACAGCAACTTAGCCTCTTCTTCCTCTCAGGCTTTGAAGGAAGTCATTAAAAGGTAATCTCTCCAAGGTTACACTTGAATTCTGACAGGGGAGACCATTTAGCTTTTAAAACTGAGACATCATAATAACACAGATCTACACTATCAAACACCAATTTTTTTTTTTTTTTTTTTTTTACTCAATGCTATTTAATGGGATTTGGCACAAAATGGCACAACTCCTGAATCTGTATCAATTCAGATATCAAACTGTAGAGTAGAAAAAAAGATGGAGATTATTTAATGTTTACCCATTCATGCCTATTAGCCCACAATTCTCACACCTTTAATTACTTTGTTCTGTTTACCCATGAGCTAACATTGCCCTTAATTAACTCAGCCTGAAACTCTTATGAATACACATCCACTAAGAAGTCCACACTAAATTAGTTAATTGCATTATCCAGTATAAATTCATTACTCTGACAACCACTGGGCATGCTGAGGCCTACAGACTAGGAGGTAGGTTTCTTTATAACCGTAGAACATTGCAGTAAGATCTGTCAGCTTCATTACACTAAAAAGATGTTAACATTAACTCCTGGTTTTTCCACTGTTTTGCTTCAGAGAAGCAGAATAATTTGTGCATTTCAATAGCCAAAGGTCTTTCAGCTCAACTGAAAGTTCAATCATACATACAATTGATTCAAATTTGGCACTTTTTAAGTTAAAAGGTTCTCCTGTTCCTTTAGTTATTAGTTCTTAAGACTAAAAGGGGTTTATCTCAAATAGCTCTACAGCTGGTAGACATCAGGAAGTCCCTGTCAAACTGGGTCAAGACACCTTCTCTGAACAAACCTCTTAGACTAGTTCCGTTCACCACCCTCTTACCTCTTTCAGCTTTCAGTACAAAACTGGATTACCATGATCTCCTCAGACGAACATGTAACATCTGACCTAGAAACAAAAGCCTTTCTGTTACAGGAGGCAATATGCAGGTGGTTGTGCAACAAATAACTTATCTCAAAACAAACATGTTCAACTAGGCTAGAAGCTCACAGATTCCTTGTGGGATTTTGATCTGTGGATTGCCCATCCTCTCTCATCTCCCTACCCAAAGAGTACAGGCTGATTTACAGTTTTTACAAAATACCCAGAGTACTCATGTGGTTTATTGGCAGTGACCTGGTGCACGTTCTACTTGACCCTTTCATAAGACTATCTTCAAACAAATGCAACACATAGAAAGGGACAGGTGAAGAAACAGGAGTAAGGCAATGCCTCTATCGGCCAAATCTATCCCTTCTATTCCAGATGTTAACATTGGTTCTTTCTCAAGTCTTTGCTTCAGCAAAGCTCCAAGAGACAAACTTCCCAGTATCTCAAAACCATGCAGACCTTTCCCCACGTTTTTCCCTTTCTGAACTGACTTCCAAACAAGCAGGATTGTCCCTGATTACCTTCTTTCAGACCTGGAACTATTTTAAAAGACTGGGAAAGCAGAAAAAAGATGGGAAAAAGCTCAGACCCTTTATAGACCTTCATAAGGAATGTACACTTCATATGAAGGTCTTTACCAAATCTTTGTTTCTTTAGAGCACACAATGCACATTTCACATATCTCTGCTCTGGTCCTCCAGCATCAAGGTGTGGGGGATGGTCATGGGACAAGACTAAGAAAACCAAGATGAAGCCAACAAGAAAACCCCTTAATTACAAATAACTACACGAGGCTGCCAAGTTTGAATTAAATCTTATAGCCACAGTACATTTTTGCAAATAGAACTATTCTACACCAAAAGTGAGCATCTGTCCTGGGACTACTTTTGCCTTTCAGCTACTACATATGGTGTCCAGTTATACATGCTGTGCATTTATATCCTCGGTTCACGAGTACTGAACAGAATCAACTAACTGAAATTACTGAAGCAATACTTTACCAGGATATTCTCAGGGCTAAACCCTTGTTTAACACAGTTGGTTAAAATAGAGTATTTCACAGACTTCAGTGTCCTTATATCTGCATCTTTCCATTGCTTCGAAAACCACTTTCAACCAGTTAGTCAATTTTGATCCACAGCACTTTAAAGATGCATTATTAAACTGCAATAGGACTCCTACAGAAGCATGTGTTAGACTGATGCAATATAGAGAGAGCACAGGTAAAGCTCCTTTTGCTGCTGAACTTGGGAGTCTTGGGAGTAGTCTGCCTTACAGGCAACAACCCTTAAACCAGAGTATCATTACAGTTCCGCTTCTTAGGAGAAGTTATCTACTGAGGGTTTTTTCCAAATGTCAATCACACAGATTAATACCTCTAGTAAGTCTTGAGGTAGGGTTCCTGAAACACAGGGTAAGGCCAATTAAAAGGCTCCTCCAAACTCTAGGGGAAGTTTTAATGATGCTTAATGCATAGTTCAACACCTATTCTTAAGACGAGACACACATGCAATTACAGATGTGCTGCAACTCTGTACTAAGATTTGGCTTCCCGCATGCTACCAATAGTAATTATCACCATTACTGTGAGCACTGAAACAGCAAGAACAGACTGAAGAGCCCACGATTACGTTTGTGCAAGGCTCAAGGAGGAAGTGCAAGAAACCAAGCAGGAAAGAGCCAGTCCTCATGAAGATTTCAGTATGGCAACAGAATACTTGCTTTCAAAGATATGAAGCTGCTCATTTTAAGCCCTGCTTCAGCAGCCTTTTAAAACAGATAGGTCTATCACAACAGCTTACTTTGGTTTTTACTTCCAGGTGTGGCCCTAACACAACTGGCATTCCTCAGGTAAAGATTTCTAAGATCCCTTCAAAGCCCAGTGTTTTAGTTACAGCTCCTAAACGATAATGAGCTCAGGTCTGTGCTCATGGCTACTTCTACATTCACATTTCTGTGACAGAAAGACTGAGAAGTCTGATTTTGAATGTCTCCTGATGATGCTTTTCTCTTCAGCTGATGCGGCTGAAATCTTGGGCCAAGACCCCATGCTGCTCAACAGGCTTGTGCAGTGGTGCAATGCTAACGACCACACCGGCGTTCACAGAGAAGCAAATCGGCTGCTGGCATCGATCTTGCGTCACAACAGATCCCAAGTACGAGAACTATTGGTCTGATGTTTCCACTTTATCCTTCTCAAATATTTTTAAAGCTTGGCAATATAGCTAGGCGTTAAGTGTTAATGAGCACATACAGCTTTATCATTAAAAACAAGAGAGTTCACAGTAAAAAACCCTCCTGGTCTGCCTCGGTATCAATAAAGGGGAGGTGAGTAGGAAAGCATTGCTCTCCATTGCCACAGAATACTGCACAGAACCAAGCAACACGTTACTCGCTGTCACTTGTCAACTTTTACCCAGCTTGAGTAAAGCTTGACCAATGGTAAGCAGGTAAAGCTTTTCTACTCCCATAAATATTAGTTTCAAATTACAATGGCAAAGATAACGCAGACCTGTCCTGAACGTCAGCCCTCCAGTAGCCCTGAAGAAACCACTTATCTGCCTAGTGATGAATGCATCTGGTGTGATCTGTATCTGCTCGTCTATTAGAACAGGCTCCCATTTCTTGAAAACCATACTATTATACACAGGCATCCCAACTCTGCTTTACTTTGAGGTAGTGATAAAAAAAGATACTATCTGCACAGGCTTCCGTAAAGTGAAATTAATCTTTGCTAGTTTGAAGGCTTAAAATTAAAAATTGGAATAAGGTCAAACTAAAACTCTTGAGACAAAATATATCCATTTTTATCCTACAGATATGTATATACATAATTGAGTATCGATATTCCAAATAAATTAGACCAGCCCTAAGCAGACATGATTAGTGCCAAAAAAAAAAAAGTTATCTCTAGTCTTCAAATATTATCAGTTTGCATTGCAGCAGGCAAATCATTTCCATCTACTCAGAAGCTGAAGAATGCAGTCTCATTTCTTGTTACATTCTGCTTCATTCTTAAGTCAGATGTCCATCTGTGGTATTTCACTTTTCTTTTAACAGGAAGTTGTCAAAGCCATCCAGGAAGCACAAGGAGTGAAGCATCTGGTTTCCATGACAAGCAGCGAACATGTTGCCATGCAGAATGAGGCTCTGAATGCCTTGGCAATAGCATCTGCTATCGATTTAGGTATTTTTCTCCTAAAAGCATTTATATGTGTCAGATCCCCAACTACTAAGGAACACTGCCATGCTGTTAATTCTACATAACATGTAAGAAAAAGCATGTTTCTTGTCTAGATTTAGCCGTTCAGCATGAAATAAAGGAGGTCAGCCATCCAGGAGATCACAAAAGCAATGGGCCTCAGGAATTGCCTGGAGGCTTTTTTTGTTTCAGGTAGAATCAAATGACCACGCTGTGTAGACAAGCAGAGTCTGCTGAGTAATAGGCTATGGTGCTAGAAGCCTACCCAAAAAAACCAGAAGGAAATAAAGGTGATTTAAAAGTAGAGAAAAAGAAGGAAAAGTCTAAATGAAGACAAAATTAAAGACAAATTATGGACTTGAATGGTCAATGAAGACTATAAATGGAGGAAATAATCTTCAGAAGACAGACATTTAAATGCAGGAAAGAACAAAGCAGAAGCACAGACCTCGAGGAAGCTGCAAATGAAACAATTGAGAGAATGATAAAAGGTTCTCACTACTTTTACAGAGCTATTTTTCAGAGATATCAACTATAATTTTTTTTCCAGATTTTTTCCTGTATGACTGGTCACATCTGAAAATCATTCTCAATTTAATAAAGTCAGTCACCACAAGCATCTACATATATCAAAAGCTACATTGAAAACAAATAGTCCACTTGAAATGTGGAATTTCCTATACTAACAAGCAAGACAGTAAAGAGCCCATGTTACTGCTAGGCCCACCATTAAGGCTCTTGAACTCAATTCAGCAACCTATTTAAATCAAAATTCCTAGTGTTTTTTTAACCTATTAGGAGGTTATTTAATACAATCTATAGTATGCAGGTTCTGTCTTCCAGAGTGAGGCCAGTGAAGAAACACTGTACAGAAAATAGTACAGAACATCTCCATTACAGAAAACAGATGCCCACGACATCCCTGTATAGCCAAGCTGAAGTGAAGCCAGTGAAGAATTTTATTTTTAAAAAGCAAGTATGTTCACACCTTTTAGCTTCTTTTCAGGTAACAGCTCTGTTATTTGTTTACTTATTTTTCAGAAACCCTTGAAGAATGTTTTAAGGAATCACAGCTAGTTCAAAGCTTACACAAACTTCTACAAGATGATAATACAAGTCCCGAGGTGAAATATAATTCAATGGGTCTTTTGTGCAGTCTTCTTAATTCAGGTAACTTCATTTTGAGTTGTTTGTGATGAAAGGATGGATATTTGTGATGAGAATACAAGCGTTTTCTGTTACTGAAGTGTGCTGCTTATGATGTTGCAGTCAGTGAGTAGCAAAGGATACTAAATAGTTTCATTCTTTATTGATCACCAAAAATCCCAGTCAAGTAGCTTTTCTTTATAAAAAGTTGATTAAACCATCAGTCGAATAAAAAATAAAGGCTTTATTCCAGTGAGTCAGTGGCATAATCAAGTCCTGAAATAGCGGAATTAGAGCCTTGGAATAAAGGCACCTTTGTCCAAATTCACCACGCACAAATGCCTGGCAGTCCCACGTCCTCTATGTACCACAGCATTTTTGTGTTCAAAGAAACAAAGAGTCTGTATCATCTTCCACAGGCAGGCATACATTTGTTCTGCTTATGCTGTAAGCAAATCAGAAGCTGAGATAACACAGTAGTTTTAGCAATGCTGCCTTTGCACAGCAGCTTTTAGTAAAACATACGAAGGATGTAATTTCACTTTCTCTCACTCCATGGTTTGGGAAGACTTAAAATGTTCAAGCAAGATCATACTCCTCCTGAATGTGTGGCACTAACTGAAAACAACCACCTTGAAACCAGGAGCCCAAAGATCTTGTGCCAGTTTTTCACATCTTAATACATAAATCATGTAAATTGAAAATAATGACTGCTCAGGCAAGGTTCTACCACAGGGGAGCTCCCTTCAAATACTGGAACTGCTCTATATTGGCAGACAAGCTGGATTTCGCAGTATACTCTTTTTACCTATAGCCACATGGATATTGGAATAGGGATACACATCTTTGGCGCTACTATGGAGTACTGACACAACAGATGTGATCTGCAAGACTTTTCCGGAGGTGTATATACTTAGTCCTTTATAGACTAACTGTAACAGTAAGAGTTGAGTCTTATTAATCATAGAATCACAGAATGGTTTGGGTTGGAAGGGACCTTAAAGATCATTTTGTTCCAACCCCCCTGCCACGGGCAGGGACACCCTCCACCAGACCAGGTTGCTCAAAGCCTCATTCAGCCTGGTCTTGAAAGTCTAGCAAAAAAGCACACAGGCAAAAAAATGCTGGAACTTGTCCTGTGTTACATTTTCAAAGTGCTTTTCTTCTGTTCAATCAGTTCTTGGAAGTCAAACAGGAGAAAAAAAGTGTCTTCACAGATACACAGAGTGGAAGGGGTTGGAAGGGACTTGTAGAGATCATCTAGTCCAACCCCCCTGCCAGAGCAGGATCACCTAGAGT